AGCGCGAACACAGGACATGAGAAGTGACTCTCGACATAGCCGGACATGAAGAGGACATGGAGAAGGGAGTGCAAGAGGACATGAAAGGACGATGACGAACGGTGAGATGAAAGACATAAAGGACATGGATAAGTGAGATCGAGGAGGGACATAAGAGGACATGAAACATGAAGAGGACATAGAGAAAGTGAATAAGCAGCGACATGAGCCGGGACACTGAGATGACCCTATAGGCGTTGAAATCGAACGAGATGAAGCAGCGACAGAGAAACCTGCAGCACAACCTCCTCTATCAAACTCGCCGTCATGAGCTTGAGCGACCACTCAATGAAAAATAACGTATCATGATTGAAACGTTGAGATGAGAGGACATGAAAGGACATAGAAGTAGATTGAGGAGGGACATTGAAGAGGGACATGAGAAGGTGACATGAAGAGGGACATCGAGGAGACATGATGAGGGAAGGAAAAGGGACATGAAGAGAGACATGAGGAGGAGAGATGATGAGGGGGATGAAAAAGGGACATGTAAAGGGACATGAGCAGCTGAAGCGAAAAATAAAGTGAAATTAGCAGTTGAAGTGTAAAAGAGAAATGAACAGATGGAATGAAAACAGGAAATGAAAAAGAGAAAGGATATGATCCGATGAAATAAAAAAGTAAAATATGACATGATCTGAAAGACGAACAAGGACAAAAAGGAATATGAACTAAGGAAATGAACAGGGAAAATAAACACGGAATATGAACAATCAAAGTTAACATGGTATGTGAGAGACAGAAATGAACAGGGAAAATGAACAAGGAAAAGGAACAACAAACATGGAGAGGGAAATGGAAGAAAACAGGGACAATTAACAATTTAAAGAACAGGTAAAACTAACGTGAACAAACGTGAAAAAAAAATGAAACAGAATAGCAGAAAGAGAAATTCGCCGAAGCAATAAGTTTTAATCTCTGCTGAAAAGCGAAAGAGAAACAGGGCAGGAGAAAAAAAAGAAAGAAAAAAATCGATTCTCGTACATTGTTGATACTGATCCTTACTTAAAGGGTGACGACACCACGGCTTTCCTCTTTCATCTCTACTCTCTGTTATCTCTCTCTCGATTTCGCTCTTTCTCTCTCTATTTCCTCTCAGCTTCTCTCTCTCTCTTTTTTCTCGCTCTTTCT